ACGATAATGGACCTGTTCCCGGCTGTCCATGACACGGTTACGCACAAGTTTACGCACACGTTTACGCACACGTTTACGCGCCTGACAAATGGAGACAAATGGAGGAATTTCTGATCTTTTAATAACTTTGAAGCTTGCAGATGAGTAATTGTTCTAGATCAGGGGTCTCCAACCATTTTCAACCGGAGAGCTACTTTTATCCAACAAAAGAGGCAGAGAGCTTCTCATTTTCGCAGTTGTAATTTTTATTTTTAAACGTAATAATTACAACAAAACATGGATAACACATAAATATACCATAATACTGTGAAACTCTATACTTTTAATAGATATATAATGACTCAAAATGTGTTATTTCAAGATCATTGTTAATTCTAATACCTTTGGCGAGTTACTGTTGCCCCGAGCCACAGGTTGGAGACCCCTGTTCTAGATATTTTGGGCCCTGCATGGTTTAAGTTAAAGTTTTTTTTTTTCTTCTCTCCACCTTTTGAAAAAACTCTCTGGTCTTATTTGACGAGCACGTATATCACCAGAATGATTGACAATTAGGAGAACCATTAGTCTTGATGATCCACCCGGAAGTAGAAAATCCTCCTTTAAGTCATAGTGAATGTGTTTAGACTTCTTATTGTATAATGTAGCAGCAGTTAAAAAGGAAAAGAAATGTACTGTGAATATTTATGATTTTTATGCTGTGTGTGATTGATTCTATATAAATGTTGTCTTGTAAAGCACTTTGAGTTGACTTTTGTATGACCTGTGCTATACAAATAAATTTGCCTTTGACACAAATAAACCGTTGACTTCAAGATCTTGTATCTTGATTTCGACTGTTTATTTCTCATATAGGCTTAGTAAGTCATTATTTGGAATAAAAATAGGACAATAGACTGTTATTGAGTGTCCAAGTGCAGAGGGCAAAAAGTACAAGATGTAAAAGTACTATTAAAGCTGGGATACCTGACTTTTAAACGACATAAAAACATGAACATTGTCATGAAATCCATTTAGTTCCTGTCTCTAACAGTTTGGTTCTGTCAGTTTCATACACATGTTATTATTATCGTGTTGTCGACTCTGTCTCATTTCCGTTTTTTCAGACAGAAAAGAGAAAAAGAAAGTGACTCACGTGATGGTTGCATTACGTTTATGATAATGCATTCTATTTTTCTTTGATAACAAACTGTGGATGTGTTTTAATTAGATGTATTTAAGACCACATTTCAAAGAGATACTTGCATTCATCAAAAATCCAGCATGAAAAAGTGTTCTTAGTCCCTTGTATTGGAAGATGAAGACCATGACTTTAGCATGAGAAAGAAGCAAATATAAAATTTCTGTAGGAAGTAAGTCAAAAATCCACGACTTTAGCATGATAAAGAAGTAAGTCTAAAATCTCTGCATAAAAAAGAGGCAAGAATTAAGTCTAAAATCTCTGACTTTAGAAGAGGCAAGAATTAAGTATGAAATCACTTGCTGCATTTTAATCTCCTTTAATCATTTTTATTCTACAAAACACGGATACCTCCTTTTTACAAACTTCAATACAAGACTTGTGGAATTTACCAACTTTAAGCATGTCTTCAGCATAATAAAGAAGCAAGTAACATATCTGTCTTTAGCACAATAAAGACGTAAAGGATACAACTCTATGCATTTGAGTATCTGTTCAAACACACGGAAGACAGTCAATTACAAAAGTGAAACAGCCACTGACAAGGAGTCCACTAAGAACACAGAACTGAACTGAAAATCTATAATTGTAATGAGTGATATATATATTTACATTGTCAGTCTGCGGCTCCCACAGAACAAAGCAGACTGTGTTTATACTCAACGCTCCTCACATCTGTCCGTTTGTCAGTTGCCAACAAGAACAAGGACTTTTTTCTTTTTCCTTTTTTTTTTTTTCTTTAAATCTTTTCTTCTTCTGGAACCAGGATTCAGTCAGCGCGCTGCAAACAAAGACACGCAAATAGATTTAAAGCATTCCGTTGTTACAGTGGACTCAGAAGCGACGCGCCCTCTTTCCCAGACGCACGTAAGGCAAAACTCTCACTCGTGCGTGGTCCGTGTTGGTCCAAGTTTTGTTTTGAAAATCACTTCTGCTGGGTTTGCGCGTTTGTGGATGTTGTGCGTCAAAAAGCGGGGTCATGTATCTCCCATGCTATTACGCGTTCCGCTCTGCGCCATTATTTACAGACACACAATAACTATACAACCTGGTTTGATATCACTTGTGAGACTTTTAGATTTGTTCATTTGCAAAAATAAATGCGAGAAAAATATTTGGCGTAATTCTTTAGGTACAGATTCAATTCAATTTGCTATTTGCAAATTGAATACATGTGCATTGGAATACATGTGCAAAAGTATTTACGCCAGTGTGCGCCAGAGAAGTATATATCAAACAAGCTTGAAAGTGCAAGAAATCATTACGTCGTTCTCAAAAAGCCAGATATATTTTAGGAAAAATAAATAAATAATGAAGCAGTGCTGTTCTTGAACAAATCCTTTCAAATAAAGATAGCATGTTTTTTTAAAAAAAACATGTTTTAGAGTTGTGCTTTTCTTGATATTCAAGTTGTGTGACTGTTCTGTAACTTGTGATGCAATACTGACATTTCCCCACATGGGACGAATACAGGATCTCTGCTTGATCTTAATATTAATCTTAATCACTGACGAAAAACATGTTAAATATTGCAGTTTCAGGAATAAGACTTTTTGAGTAATTTTCAAAGCGGAGATATCTGTTTTTGGAAATGAACTATAGATTGTTAAAATGACTGAATAGTGTGCGGTGTAAAAATAGGTCATTGTCCTTTGTAAGTGGTTGAGACAAAGTGTGACTTCTCGGTGATTGATTGATTGCTGATGTGTAAGTCACTGTAAGATGTTTTCGCTCAGACCATGGGCGTGTCTAAAGTTAAGTTAAAGCTGTTAATATGGTTAAGGTTATTTATGACAAAAGAAAAGTTTTATATTTTAGCTTTAATCTATTTAGGAGATTAGGAGACAAAACCATATGTATTATTGTTATGTCTCTAGTCACGTGACACCGGCAGACATTAGTCAAATCTGTTTTTATTTCCCCTAATTTTTTTTCAAAACCTGCATTTTGTTGAGCCCAAACAGACAACTCCATTGGACATGTTTTTCATCAAGTATTGTTGCATTTTCGCAGCAAAAATGAAATATGACATTTTATTTTCCATGACAAGACAAGATAAGAACTCATGTTGGTGTCATACAGTATGATCCAGCTCAGACTCTGAGGAGTTCAGGGACTGGCCTCCTGCTGGGACTCTGAGGAGCACAGGGACTAACCTCCTGCTGGGACTCTGAAGAGCACAGGGACTGGCCTCCTGCTGGTTCCCAGAGTTAGAACTAAACAGGAGACGGCAACATTTCAGATTTATGCATCCAAAATCTAGAACAGTCTTCCTCAAAATGTGAGACAGGCTTCTTCTGGCGCTGTGGAGCTCCATGGTGTGTAAACTTCTGTCTGGTCACTTGTCTGGTCAGTTTTTCCAATGTGGTTTTACTGTCAATGTCAAATCAAATATTTTATCTTCTCTGACTATGTTCCAATCCAGGTTAAAAACAGTTCAGTTTAGCTGCACAACTGAAGGATTTTATCTTTACTCTTTTTATACTCTAATTATTCATGATTTTAATATCTGTTTGTTTAGCACTTTGAGTTTCCTTGTGTATGAACTGTGCTGTACAAACAAACTTGCCTCGCCAATAAACGCACCACTCTTGAGGCCCAAACTCTTTCTTCCCGGGCCTGTTTCGCCTCCCTCCCTTTAACTCTCCCTCATTGGTTCCTCCCACAGCCCGCAGCAGCAGCCAATCACACAGCGAAGCGCCACCAGAGCCTTCATAGAAGCCGCGCACGCTCTCCCCTCTCCAGTGTCAGTCCGGACTCTGCCGAAGAACTCTGGACTCATCTGTTCTTGGGAATTGTTCTGGTTTTTTTTCTTCTTTATCACCCGCTCATCCATTCGCGCTCTGGACACAGCCGCGCGTAAAAGGTACGTGCAAGTGTCTGTATTACATTATGATTTTTAAGGTCTATTTTTAACACTTTGCACAGTGTGGAAAAGCTGTTTTTTTGCTCTTATTTAATGCCATATTTATCAAAAAACCGTTATTATAGACTAGACAATCAAGCAGCACGCGCGTACGTTTTTATATACTTGGTTTACCTTGATTTCTCTCTGGTTGTGCAGACTTTATTCAAAACAGGACTGCAAAACATGCTATAAAAGTGTGAACTAACCACTAATTATCTGTTTTTAAGTAGCATTTATTTCGACTGTTTTAGAGTACGTTTTGCCAATGGAACGTGCAAGCTTTGTCTCCTTATATAATTAAAAGACACGCGTTATTACCTTGGACTTGGAGTTAAAAAGTTGCTTACAAATTTGATTTTTAAAACAGTCACATAAATGTTTTGGTCTAATGTCTCAAGGCGCAATCAAAGCAATTATTTACTTCCGTTTGTTATTTTACTGCGCTTTGAACTGGCCTCAAATACTATAGACGTATATAATGTGGCCTATTTAACACCGAATTAGTTAATTAAAAAAGCGCATTGAAACGTGTTTAGAATTATTTATGTTAATGTAATTCGAACTACAAGACTGGCCAATGACGTTCCTAAATCTTTGGCCTATATTTCGAAAAGCATTGCGTTTTTATAATTGTGAGACATTGCTGATAATATTCATATATTTTAGGTTAAACAAGACACGTTTTTTGTTGTGGTATTGCGGTATATAGTCGAATTATTCCCGTAATGATAAATGATGAATTACTGGGTCTATATTGCATTTTAACATAATTTCAAGATCCACTTTATTTGCCATTTGCCGTAAAAACACATACATAATAAATACATGTCTTGCAATTTAAGATAACATTTTTAATCAATTGTTTAACGTAGGTTTTGATGTTTTTACAGATAGTTGACCCATACACCCTCCGCCATGTCAGAGGGCCTAACGTGTGACTTCGAGATAGACGTGGAGAGTCTGGAGACTGAGAGCGACGAAGCGCACAGTCGCCCCGGGTCCGCGCCTCCGCTTGGGCCCATCGCGTTGGAGGAGGACACGGAGGGGGGCACCAGCACCAGCAGCACCAGCCCCAGCAGTAGCAGCAGTAGGGCCGAGTGCCAGGGCGGTCCTGGCGTTTCGGGGGACCAGAGGAAGCTGAGCCGGACCCCCAAGTGCGCGCGCTGCCGTAACCATGGCGTGGTGTCGTGTCTGAAGGGCCACAAGCGCTTCTGCCGCTGGAGGGACTGTCAGTGCGCAAACTGCCTGCTGGTTGTGGAGAGACAGCGAGTCATGGCGGCTCAGGTGGCGCTCAGGAGGCAGCAGGCCACGGAGGTAATACAACCGTAACGATAATAAGAACAATTGATGATGTATTTTTTGTCTTAGTGTATACTGTGTTTTGTTAATTATAATCTGTCTTTTTTGTTTACGGACCCCCTCGAAAACAATATACCACTAAACTAAACCAAACTATAATCAAAAATAATGATAATAAAAATAAGTATAACTTGAAATTGTATATCGGCTGAAGCCATTGAGTGACTGCATGCCATAAACAAATACAGCTACTAAATATTAAAAAGATAAAAAAAGATTAAAAGCACATGGAGCACACACAATGTACATGATAAATATCTTAGCTCGCTGTAAATGCTTAATTATCAGCCTTTCAACAACAACAACAACAAAATATATATAGTGCAAAGTTATATACTGTACATATATGGCGGGGTAATAGATAAAGTGACATTCAGTGGACATTCTTACTCCCTTTTTAGACTGTTACACCGCTAATACACAGATGCAGACAATGAACAAAAACACATAGTAGTGCATAAGACTAAAAAGATCAAATCAAAAATAGAAAAAGTCCCATTTTAAGAGATTGTGGGAAAATATTTCAAATACTACAAAAATACATGCACCAAAAGTTTTAGCTCCCATCAGACCATAAAACAGAACGGAACAAGGTAAAACACTTACATTGATGAAAGCATTGAAGAGTTGAAATGTGCTGAAATCTGTCGGAAGAAACACGTAGAGGACGATAGAAGAGGGAGAGTAAAGAATAAGAAACAATGCATGTATTTGCTCTGGGAATTTCAATATGGCTAAAAATGTTGGCTGAAAGTTAATTTGCAAAAAAGTGGCAAGAGAAAGGTTACAATTTGCTCTTTGTGGTTTTTTTGAAAAGCCAGTTTATATGTATAGCAAATCTCAAAGTGCTGAACAAAACAACGCATGGAAAGAAAGACTGTTTTTTTTTTTAAACCTGGATTTAGTGGCATATAAATAAATTTTCACCCCTTCTTGAGCGGATTATCTTAAATACATACGGCCTGTAATAAAACATGTGGAGGATTGAAGCTGGAGGGACACAAGTTTTTGACACTTTTTTCAAATCGGAGTTATCTGTTTTTGCTTATGGACCTTTCCATTTCTGTTCCAGGACAAAAAGGGGATCTCTGGGAAACCGCTGCCGACTGAAAGAAGAGCCATCTACCAGCGACACATGCGGCCGTCCACCATGCTCGCCAAGAGCATTCTGGAAGGTAGCCCCTCTTTCTCTTTTCTGTGGATTAATGTGGGCGCTGCTGCAGCACTCGTTAACAGTGTTGCTGTTTGATTAAGTGTTATAAAACTTTACACATGTTTTTATGGAGACATTACTTTGTCAATAAAAATCATGGAATCTAAGACATAGGTTTATCACCAATAAACTGTAAATACTGTAAATAGATGAAATTTTGAATAAATAAAAAAAGATCAAGGAAACCAGCGCCCAATTATTATTTTTTCCATATGCCTGTTATTTATGTATATGATTACTGTAATAGTTTAATTGTTGTATATAGTGTTATATGGACTAAATGTGTTAGATTAGATTAGATTAGATTAGATTATGCACATGTGTAATTATTGCCCAAATTCCTCCAGTGACATCATTAGTACAAACATGTAACACTCCCTCTCCACAGAGCGGTCACTGATCATGTGTGTGTGTGTGGCAGGTTACCGGCCGCTGCAGACAGAGTCGTTCCTCGGAGCTGGAGCTGCTCTTCCTCCTCTGAGTGACCGCATGAGGAAGAGGAGGGCCTTCGCCGACAAGGAGCTGGAGAGCATCATGCTGGAGCGAGAGTACAAGGAGCGGGAGCTGATGGAGGCCCCTGGGCTCTTCAGCCCTAGTGTGGTGCATGAATACAGCTCCTACAGGAGCTACTCTCCCCCCTCTCACCGGAGCTTCTCTCCCCCCTCTCACCGGAGCTTCTCTCCCCCCTCTCACCGGAGCTTCTCTCCCCCCTCTCACCGGAGCTTCTCCCCCCCTCACACTGAGGCTCAGGCCAAAGAGCTGTGTGGCTTCATGGGGCCCTCGTGTGTGGAGCTGCCGGTGCAGTACAGCGCAGCAGCTAACGTGGAGCTCATCTCCTCCAACGTGAGCGTGGCCACATACAGACAGTACCCAGTGCAGACGTCCAGAGGAGGCTACGTCATGTGGCCCCGGGGCCCCACCAACCTGGGGGATGCACTGTTGTACCAGCAGTGTCTCCTGAACGCTACAGCCGTCCAGAACCTGAAGCCGGGGGCCGTGTGGGAGCCCAAGAGCATGCCCACAGAGAGCCAGCCTCCAGAGCAGGATTCTGTGAGTGTGTCCAAGGTGGAGGGCTCCAGGGCCGCCCTGCAGGGGGAGCACAAGCAGCCGGGCCCCGGCCCCAGCCCCAGCCCCGGCCCCAGCTCTGCTGCAGCACACAGACTCAGAGAGAGCTCGGCCTTCTCTCCTCCCAAACGCAGCTTCGGTCAGGCCTTCTCTCCCTCGTCCACACAGCACCGAGTGAGCAGAGAGTGTGTGAAGCACTCTCTGCACACACTTACCGCTGACAGGAGGAGCTCGTCCTGTAAGGAGCTGCTGCAGGAGGCGGCGCGACGGTTCAGAGACTCCTGTGTGAGAGACTCCTGTGTGAGAGACTCCTGTGTGAGAGACTCCAGTGTGAGAGACTCCTGTGTGAGAGACTCCAGTGTGAGAGACTCCTGTGTGAGAGACTCCAGTGTGAGAGACTCCAGTGTGAGAGACTCCTGTGTGAGAGACAGTGTAAAGAGCAGTCCCAAAGAGCTGCTGTCCAAACCTGCGGCCACAAAGATGTCGTCCAGTGACTCTCTGTCCTTCTCTGTGGAGGCCATCTTGAAGAGGCCCCCAACTGTGAGCGTGCTGCTGCACTGACTCTGATCCAAACCAGACTCTGACAAACTTCCACATGATTCCTACACTTTGTACTTTTTCACCCCTCATCTTTTTAACCGACGATTCATGGAACTAATGATTCTGACGTCACCAGTTTGTGTCAGAAAACTGAATAATCCTCATTCTTTGACATTTCATTGTTGTACATTTGTTTGTTCTTTTGTAGACAATAGAGTTGAACATATATTTAAATACAAATCGTTCTAATAAACATATGTTAAAGTTATGAGTGGTTACAGGTTATTATTCCGACACCAGTGAGAAGTTACGTGTGTATTTTCCAGTTCATGTTTCATCAGCTCCAACTTGTCGGGACAGAATCCTCAGCGTTGGGTTTGTAATGTAAACAGTGGAATGTCGTAAACGATGACAGTTGGACACAATGGACGCAACGCTCTTCTCTTTAGATAAAGCTGCAAAGATTAATTTCAAACCCAGCAACTTTTAAAACATACATTTAAAGTAGCAATATGTAAGAATTTCATGTCAAGTCATCATTAAATGGCCCTAATCAGTCAAAAGGCATAAAAAACCCGCTCTTTTCTAATACTTCTTTAACTGATCACAGAAGTTCAGAGATATTTGGATTTCGAAATTTGTTTTCCAGCCCCTAAATCTTGTTATTGGTTTCATTTCGATGTCCCGCCCTCCACCGTTTTACCAACCAGAAAGGCCGTGATCCGGGTGCCAGAACTCACTGCGTCAAGCTAATCTCACTGGTAAAGTACCATGTGGCCGCAGAACTAAAAAAGGTCTTGTTCTGATTCTCAAGTCATTAACGACAAAACAAGGACTAAAACCAACCAAAATGTGTTGGTTATAGATTTCTTGTTGACAAAACTCTTTATTCAGATATTATGGTTATGGTGCAGACGAATCCAGTTGGATTCGTCTGCATATCTGGCAACCTGAGTCAAGGAGAGTGGGAGAGGTTGCAGTACCACTTTTGGCCAGATTTGTACATACTGCTCCTTTAAAGTGACAGACAGTGCACAATAAACATTTACATCAAAGGGAAAGATGCAGGTTGTACCAGGCTATAGCTCAAGAGTAAATTTCCACCCACAGTCCTGGGCTGATGTTAGGATAAAAAACTCAATAATTCATCTGTTGAACGTTCCTATTGTTATAACATAATAAACCAGGACTGCAGATAGACGCTAACTGTGTAGCTAGAATCTGGTGCAGAACATCTCTGAGTTTAATTTAGAGAATAAACAAATCTATTTATCAAACATAAGCTGGTGCTCTGTGTACTAGGTGTAGCTCCGACTGCCACCCCCCGACCCAGAAATGGATTAAGGGGTAGAAGGTGGCTGGATGGATGGATTAAGCCGTGAAGAGTTCATATATTAAAGTGTTTTTGCCCCACCAAAGATATTGCATTTGAATCAACAAAAAAATCTAAGTATAATCTAGTTTTATGAATTTTATTTCATTATCACAGTCACATAGAAGCACCACCTGCTTGTGAAAGCCAGATGCTGTCAGACCTATGAAGCTGTGCAGGGCAGGTCCTGGTTAGTACTGTGATGGGAGACCTCAGGGAACATCAGGTGCAACAATGGTGCGGCTGAGGCTGTAAAGTGCTAAACGTTGTGTCGTTTGCCATGACCCCACACATCCTGGAATGAGTTTGGTATGTTTGTGGATGGTTGGTGGTGGTCAGAGGTGGTGACCCTCTGTCTGTGTGCCCCAGGGCAGCTGTGGCTCCAGCAGTAGTTTATCACCACTGTGAATAGAGTGAATGAATAATGACATACATCTTTGAGTGTCCAAAAAGCACAACATAAAAACCAATGCATTAAAGTGAAAACTCTTGAAATAGTAAAAACTTTAACATTAAAGCTGAGGTACCTTACTTTCAAACTACAAAAAAATCTATTTCCTCACTCTCAAAAGAGTTTGCTCCTGTCACAAATTTTCACATTAATGTATTTTTGTCCTCTGTCACATCGTTAGCTCAGCTTTTTGAGACAGAAAAGCGAAAAACAACGGACCATCCTCCCTCAGTCTGTAGTCCGAGGCGTCGAATAGAGACTCCCGGCTCTTTCTTACAAGTTTGATTAAAGATTATGTTTAGTTTCATTTCAAGCACACAAGGAAAAAGTGTACAACAACAAAACAATGGTTGTAAGAACTTTCTTTCTAATTAGACATTTCTGAGTGAGTTATGGTTAGAATTGGATAAAATGTATGCTCGGAACGATACAATACCCCAGAATTATTAGAATCTACAGAAATACAATGCACACAGTGAGAGTAGAATCCGATGCTAAAGTTAAAAAACACACTGAAATAAATCCTAACTAGCTAACCACATGCTGCACAGATGCTAACCTGGTGTCATTACTGCCACTTAAGACATAAACTCTAATCACACTGTAACAGTTTTATGGTGAAAAGTCCCAGCAGCTGTCCTTCCACGCGCCTTTTACGACTTCTTTGCTTCATGAAGTAAGTTTTCTAGTGCTGTTTCTGGACTCGCACGATGCAAAAGTGTGTTGAAAAGCAAGAGTGTTGTGCTTTGAAATCAGACCGAGGCAGATGTAGAAACAGAGATATTATGCTGCATGATGTTATGAAAGTCTTGGATCTACAGCCTCAATCCTGGATCTAAACAGCCTCTGTCCTGGATCTACAGCCTCAATCCTGGATCTACAGCCACAGACCTGGATCTACAGCCACAGACCTGGATCTACAGCCTCAGACCTGGGTCTACAGCCTCAGACCTGGGTCTGAGGCTGTGTGTATTCGCTGCATCATAAAGTGCAGTTGGTGAATGGGGTCTTTGTGTCTTTGACTTAGCTCCACAGGCTGAACAGCAGAAAGGCCTGAGTGTGTGTTTGCCTGCTGTAACTGTCACTGATAACTATCTACAGAGAGACAGATTTGACATAAACACTCCCTCCCCTCTCCTCCCCCTCTCCTCCTCTCCTCCTCCCTCTCTCCCCCTCCCCTCCCCTCTCTCCTGAGCTTCCCACTTATCTGCCTTCTCACAGTAGCAATTTGTTTATGTTGTAACACAAGTATCGTTTATCATTTACGTAGCAGAAAAAAGCAACACACTCAGCAAAATCTGAGTTTTTTTGCTGAGATCTGGGAAGGAACGTACTCAAATTTATACAAAGCACCGGAGGCTCAAGTTACACACGTCAATTGTGTGTTTGGGTGAGATGAGATTAGATATGGCAGTCACTTTAAAAGAGGCATTTCTCAGATGTGCTGGTGGTGGGACACTTTCAATCAATCAATCAGTCGGCTTTGTTTTCAACGAAGAAGGTTAAAAAGATACACGCCAGTTCATCAGATCATCGCAAATACATACAAGACATAGATTACATAAGAAATTAGTAAGAAAGAAACAAAGTGTGTGTCTGTGTGTGTCTACGTGCGTCTGTCTGTGTGTGCGTGTGTGTGTGTCTCTGTGTGTGTGTGTGTGTGTGTGTCTGTGCATGTGTGTGTGTTTGTCTGTGTGTGTGTGTGTGTCCGTGTGTGTCTGTGTGTGTGTGTGTGAAATTCTTCATTCAACCCACAGTGCGGAAATGTAAGCGTTGCACCACACGTTACAGAACAGCAGGAAAGAGCAGCACACAACACAATATACATGAATAACTCTGACTTTAGCATAATAAAGAAGTATAAAATATCTACCTTTTATCTGTTTACACCCTAAATACATCTTCAGCGTGTAAATAATCTATTATACCAGTAAGTCATTCCCACAGTTTGTCCCCGCTAACCTGTGAACGCACCATCTAACATCATTAACAACATTTCCCTCTCTAACATATCTATGCATCATTTGGTCTTCGGTCGATTCGGTTTTCAGCTCCATTGCAGCTCATTTCAATGATTGTAACAAAAACGTTGTGTTGGTAATCTCCCGTGCCCTCGCCGGCAGCATTTACAGACAACACGCCGAGTCCCGTCATGTAGCAGTGACATCACACACACAGGCGTACAGCGGCAGGACAGGTCAGACAGGCAGTTACTTGGCCACCTATGTTATTGTTCCTGACTCCAGATGGAAGAAAAGCGGTTTATCTGTTTAGTGGTAGTGGTAACCGGAGCACCCGGAGGAAACATTTGCTAGAACTCCCGCTAGAACTCCCAGAATTGTTTTTTGTTTCTTTTTGTTGTTTATTTCTACGCCATTATGAAATTATCTCTTTCTTATGTGAGCAGTTAGTTATCATAGTTACCATAGCAACACACTGTTTACTTGCCACTACTGCTTTGGCTGTATATTCACCAGTTTTAGTTCTTAGTAAAAGTAAGTTAAGATAAAAAAATTAAGAATAATGAAAATAAACTGGTGGAAAAGGTAGCTTGTTGGGGGGAATTTCTTAGAATTTCAATAGTTTGAATGGGAGCAGTCAAAATGTCGGCTCTGGGAGTTCTAGTAGCTTCCTGATTCTGGGATTCTAGTGTTAAGAAAAGGTATGGATATTTATTAACATTCAGCGCAATGGTGCAGTGGCCCTGGGTTCGATTCCACCTCTAGACCTTACTGCGTGTAGTTTGGATGCTCTCCCAGTGTCTGCATAGGTTCCCTCCAGGTGCTCCGGTTTCCCCTACCACTAAAAACATGTACAATAGTCCCCCATAACACCAACCTCACTCCTGTTTCCCCCCCCAAAAAAGAGTCCTCCTGGACCAATGGCTCCTATGTGTTTCATGTTATTACTGTTGTTGAGAAATTGACAACGTCTTAAAGTCCTCCGAGACGACAGCTGTTGTGATTTCGGGCTACGCAATAATTAATGGACTTGAACGAACGCAGATTCGGGAATAATATTTTGCCCATGACATATTTTCCCATGTCCATTACAGACTCGAAGTTGTTTAATAAATGTTTGAGTATTTATAATCTCTCCCCCAGGCTCCGCTAACAACCCCCAACGGGACACGCCCACTTTTTTTTTTACACTTGTACTTTGTTCAGCAATTTTCTTCTGCTAATCTGTGATATGCAA